CCCCGGAAGCTACACCTAAGATGGCAGCCCCATCACGGCGGATAGGAGACCTTAGGCCAACCACCTACTGTCTCTGAAACCTTTACAATTGTTACAGAAACCAACAGAGAAAGACATCGAACTGATTTAACGGCAACGACTTTTAGCGCAAAACAACGGACACGAATTGGATCATGGAATGTATTGACGTTAGCCCAGCAGGGTAAACTGTCACAACTCGCTAACTAGGTGCGACGCATGAAGCTAGAAAGCCTGGGACTGAGTGAAGTTCGTTGGCCAAACTTTGGAGAACTCAAACTGCCGTCGGGACAGGTACTGCTATACTCTGGTATTCGAGGTGAAAACGCTCCCCGCCATCATGGAGTTGGTCTCCTACTTAGCGTCCAGGCAAGTGCTGCGCTCATCAAGTGGGAGCCTGTTAATGAGAGGATAATCGTTGCCAGATTTAGAACACGGATTCGTAACCTTACCATAATCCAATGTTATGCGCCAACCGATGCTGCCGAGCTACAGGACAAGGAGAATATTTACAGTCAACTTAATGCCGTCGTGGAAAAGGTTCCAAAGGGTGACATCAAGATCTACACTGGCGACTTCAATGCGAAGATCGGCTCCGACAACACGGACTATGAGCGTGTCATGGGACGCCATGGTCTCGGCGAAATGAGCGAGAACGGTGAGCTATTTGCAGAATTTTGTGGCAATAACGACATGGTGATCGGGGGCTCGCTCTTCCCCCATTGGCCAGTGCACAAAGTCACGTGGGTTTCCCGTGATGGACATACCGAAAATCAGATCGACCACATCGGGCGGCGGTTCAACACACGCCGACTTGAAGATCCAGCGGTTGAAGAACTTGAGACTCGAGCTGCGGACGTTCCAGAAGGTGGCAGCGTAGAAGAACAATGGACGGCCATCAAGAATGCCGGGTGAGCTGCGCACCCAGAGGAAAGAGTGGATCACAGATGAAACCTGGCGGAAGATTGAGGAGCGTAGAGAAGCAAAAGCCGCGATAGAGCGGGCGAGAACCAGAGGAGCCAAGAACGAAGCCCGTCAACGGTACTCGGCTCTAGAGAAGGAAGTCAAGCGCTCTTGCAGATGGGACAAGCAAGCGTGGGTGAACTCCCTGGCCGACGAAGGGGAGAAAGCCGCAAACACTGGCGATATACGCCTCCTCTACGATATCTCACGACGCCTGAGTGGAGCAAGAATGAACCCGAGGATGCCAGTGAAGGACACGACTAGACAATTGCTTACCGACCCCACTGACCAGCTGAAACGCTGGTTTGAGCACTTCGAACAACTTCTTCAAGTTTCGACGGCCAACCAGCCATCAACATCTCGGCATGATCCGCCTAGGGTGCGGCGCATCACTCGCGTCAATTCAGAGGCCCCATTTGCAGGAGATTGAAGCAGCTATCCGAAGCATGAAATCCAACAAGGCTCCAGGGGTCGATCGCATATCAGCAGAGATGCTCAAAGCTGACCCCAGGCTATCCGCACAAATGTTGCATCAACTATTCTGTAATATCTGGGACACCGCGACTTTTCCGGCCGACTGGATGCAGGGAATCTTAGTGAAGGTCCCAAAGAAGGGGGATCTGACTGTGTGCGACAATTGGCGAGGCATCATGTTACTGTGTATTGTTCTCAAAGTTCTGTGCAAAGTTATCCTGAATCGGATACAGGAGAAGATCGACGCGACTCTCCGACGGCAGCAGGCAGGATTCCGTGCCGGAAGATCTTGTGTGGACGCATCATCCTGGAGCAGGTCAATGAATTCCAAGAGTCCCTTTATTTGGTATTCATTGACTACGAAAAAGCTTTCGACCGTCTCAATCACGAGAATCTGTGGGGTGCCCTGAGACGCAAGAGAGTCCCGGATAAAATCGTCAACCTCATCGAAGCGCAGTATGAGGCTTTCACGTGCAGAGTTCTGCATAACGGAGCCTTGTCCGACCCTATCCGGGTAGTCGCTGGTGTGAGACAAGGATGTATACTATCACCGCTACTATTTCTCATCGTAATCGACGAGATCATGGTGGGTGCAATTGACCGTGTACCGAACCGTGGGCTGCTTTGGCAGCCTATCACCATGGAGCATCTCAACGACTTCGATTTGGCTGATGATGTTGCTCTACTAGCACAACGGCACTCTGATATGCAGAGTAAGCTCAATGACCTAACCGAACGCTCCTCTGCGGCGGGTCTCACCATCTACTTCAACAAGACCAAATCGTTGGATATCAACACGGGCAACCCTTCCAACTTTACGGTAGCGGGGCAAGCAGTGGAGAAGGTCGAAAGTTTCCAATATCTTGGCAGCCAAATAGCGTCGGACGGTGGGACCAAGAGCGAATAGGTGCACGAATCAAGAAGGCTAGGGCTGCCTTTGCGAGTTTACGAAACGTATGGAGATCCAACCAGATAAGTCAACGCACCAAAATCCGAATTTTCAACTCGAACGTGAATTCTGTGTTGTTATACGCCAGCGAGACGTGGTGTGTATCAGCGGAGAACACTCAAAAGCTGCAGGTCTTCATCAACCGATGCCTGCGGTATATAATTCGTGCCTGGTTGCCTCACAACTGAATCTCGAATGCCGAGCTCCATCGTCGATGTCATCAGAAGCCGATAGCAACAGAAATTCGAGAGCGAAAGTGAAGGTGGGTCGGCCGCACACTTCGACGGGGCGGAAACGGGCTGGTTTGGAATCCGGCAGGACATCGCAGCAGAGGCAGACCCAGGGGCTCATGGCGGCAGAGCCTCAATAAGGAAATTAAGCAAGTCGATAGGAATCTGACCTGGGCCCATGTCAAGGCAAAAGCGAGAAGCCGCCCAGGATGGAAGTCTTTCACGTTGGCCCTTTGCACCGCTGGTGGTGCACAGGACCTTTAAGTAAATTAGAATTGTTTCTAGAATTCCCCTGAATTTTTTTTCCAGAATTTCCAACGAATTCATTTAAGAAATTGTGTGGAATTGTTTCCAGGATTTCTTTTTACCGATTTTTTCGTTTTTCTCTCAGAATATATTTTTAGCTTTCTTTAGAATTCTTCCCCAAAATTTCTTTGGATTCCTTCTCAGAATTCCAAAGGAACTATTTAAGAAGGAATTCACCTCGCAATTCCCTTTAAACTCAATTAAAAATTGGAATTTTATTAGGAATTCCTTTAGCAAACTCCTCAGACTGGGATTCCTTTGGAACTCTACTCAACATTCTTTTAGAATTATTTGAAAAAAAAAAATCCTTTGCAATCGTTCTCGTATATGAATTGTTATTATCATCAGAATTGGAATTCTCTTCCATTCCCATGGAGATCTCATTAGAATTATTTTGAAATTATAATCATAACTAGCTTAGAGTTTTCCATAGAGTTCTCCTGGAGCTGTCCTTACAATTGCTCTGAATACCTACTCGTGAAATTATTCCTAAAATAATTGTTCTCTTCCCCTTAAAATTCGTTTGGAACTCTGCAAAGTGACTGTCGCTTAAATTTCTTCAAAGTGACATTAGCCTAAAATAAATATTAAAAAAAAATCCTAGACTCAGAATATTGTTTTTTTTTTCAATTCTGCACACTTAGATGTTATGCCCAGGTGGGCACCACCGAGCAGCTTGGCATTTTATTTTGCTGGTTCCCAGTGAAAAATTTACCAAGATTCAGCCAAATTAATGATTTATAGCTGATCGGCAAAATTCCCGTTTGTTAACTGAATCTCGGCAAATTTTTCATTGAGATCCAGCAAAATAAAATGCCAGATATGAGCCTAAATTTATCATACGACACATGAAATCATATTACAAATTGAATGTTGAGTAATTTCCCCTCGCTGCGGATTTCAGAATCTTAGCTCCTTCGTTTCCAATTAGACAAAAATCCTGAGCTACGTTTCTAAACATAACAACCACGAGTTCTTAATCTATCATGGATGTGCAAACCTCACCGTGAGCTTTTCCCGAAACATTCTTAAAATTCTACCTCATCATCATCATCACGATCATCATCATCAGTAGCAGCAGCATTGCATTGGCAGCAACGGGAAAGTTCCGAATCCCAACCCAGCAAAGCTGTTAAACTCAATTATCGGAATGCCAATCAAATTCACCACAATTTTTCGGCAGCGTGTTTTATTAGCTTCATTGCCCCTTCCATCCAGCAGCGGCACACGACGACGCAAAGTTTCATAAATCAGTCAGTGCCCAACGCAAAGGTGCATGGAGTTTGATTTGAGAAAGGAAATCGTCATCATCAGTCAGGAAGACGGAGACGACGGGGAATGGAGCGATTTGTAAATCAATTAAACTGATTTAGTGGTTTTCTGATTCGCGGTGGTTTTGTGTGGAAGGAGATGACTGTCAAAAGAGCAGCTGGTTGGAGTTGGACCGGAAAGGGAATTGTATTTGCATAAAGTTGGATCGGGACTTTACTTTTTGTTTGTGAAATTGAATTGACGAAAATTTGCTGAGGATATTGAGAAAAACCTGCCCAGAGAAGGTGAACGGAAGTATACTTCTTGAAAGTTTTGCAATCCAAAGTAGGTAACACGATTTACGATATGATTGCTTTTTCAGATTACGGTGGATTAGGATAATTTCGTTGGACTGAACGGCATCGTTTTGCTTGTAAATTGTTTCGTAATTTATATAAATTTATTTTTACTTAGAAAAACGACCAGGAAAACGTCATTATTTTTTTAAAAAGAATTTATGTAATTTTTGAACAAAACGAACACTAGTTTGAACTTATTTTTTTTACTGTTAAATGTGCAATGGGATACCCATGTATTCAGCTTCTATTTGAAACAGCTTGGTTTAGAAAGACGCAAAAAATCCATCACGCATATAATTGATTATACATAAAAGTCCCTTGAAATTTTACCATCTATTCACAAGTACTGAACCCAAATCTGCCAACAAACCTAACAAAGTTATACATTTTGGTCAGCATATCTCCCTTCAAGAGTCACATCAATAGAAACCGTTGTTGCAAAATTCTCACCTGCACTTCCTCCTCCTCCTTATCGCTGGCAAACTGGAAGTCCTGCCCGAAGGTAATACTGACGGTACATATCAAAAGTATGATACAAAACGTTTCCTGATGTCGTAAATTCATTGTAGCTGGAGTTTCCTATTTCCAAAATCGAAATATATCTCCAACTTCCCCTTTCTCGATGGCGTATCACCTATTGCCGTATTGCCTATTTGTAGACTTGATGCGAAAATTGAATTATCTTACTACGGTTGAATATTCACTTAAAAATGGGATTCTCTTCCTTGCTTATTCACTATTGATTGACGATTCTTTTGCATTGGTTTCACTTGTTTCAAACACTGCCACTTGACCGGTTTCGTTGTTATATTCACGACCACACACAAACTCCTCTGCATACACACAGCCTGTCGAACAGCTACACGTGGATTCCTGACATCCCTTCGCCTAGTTTACTGATGGAGGTAAGCAACTTCACAGTGCGTGTGAGCTTTGGTCTCCTGGTTATGTTGTTGCTGGTTGAGATTGTTTAAAGATGCCCGAATTGTTAGCAGCAACTCGTTGATGGGACCTTGTTTACTATTATCTGTAAGAGAATGAAAAACAAAAAAAAATGAGAAAATTAAAAAATAAAAACACTTTTACACAACTGAGAAGCTGATGGCGATTGTTACCATTAGTTGACACTAAATGGTTTTATGAGATCATTTTTGTTATAGTGATGAGCAAGAACGAGATGTGTGAGAGCATCAAATGGTTTTATGGCTCAGGTCGTTCAAGCTTAGAAGGGTCATCGAAAGAGGCCATTTATATGCTGTGTGTGTGTGGTGTGTCGTCGATCTTTGATGCGTCGCCCGTAACGAAGCTGACTCATTTGGCTGCTGGGGCTACAAGTAGGTGATGTAACCAACTACGTAAGTGTCAGGTGGTCGGTGGATGGAGTTAATTAAAAAGCAGAAGAACAATGCCAATATAACCATCTGAGGCATCCCAGGTGCGATTTGATTATTAACTTGGTCAGGAGGGAAATGGAATCTGTCTGGATGTCAAGTAGGTTAGTGGGGTCTCGGATTCATTTTCAGTTTTACAGCACACGAACACACCGATAAAATGTATAAGAATTTATAAGATTCATCTTCCTGTCTGACTGTTATAGAGTTGCCACATCACAGCGTAGCTTGGCAGCAAGAGCAGCAGTAAATTCATACCGCAGCTTGATATTTATTGGCAAGATTTCGGTGCGGCCATCGAAATTAGAGCAGACTTGAGATCGGAGACAGATCTAATGCGGAGTCCCATCTGGCGGTGGCATGTTTGTATGCTAGATTTTATGTTTTTAATTCTGGTCGTAGGGTTACGGAATGTAATGTCAGCCTAGCCCCTCACTTCGGTCTATGAAGCAAATAACTAATTTATTCAGCAATAATACACAATATTAATGAACAACTAATATCCCATCTGCTGTGAAATTGTAATCCGTAAATGAATTGCCTATTTTCGGGACAAATTGTACATTTGTTGCTCTTTTTTTCAAAGAAAAAGTTGAGTGAAATTTTCATATTTTTCGATTTTGAGACGCCATGATCTTGCCGTGTTATCAACAATCAATACGAAACTAACGATTTTAAATTGGCTCACTACTTGACTAGCCTATTGGTCCCAAGCAAACGATTAACGTACCCCATTCTAGTCGAAATTCTACTACTACGCAATGTTTGTTTTGATTCGCTATGAAAGTTTGACAGATAAAATGAGGGGTTAGTGGATTTTCCTATGTTTCGAGGGGTGAATCGATTAGCTTGGGACCGAAGAGAGTACCAGAGCTGAGCCAAAAAGTTGAGCACGTTATTTCGGGACCTTCTAGTCTTAGAGTTACCTCTATGGTATTATCATAGAGGTAACTCTAAGACCAGGATGTCCCGAAGAAACGTGCTCAACTTTTTGGATCAGCTCTGGTACTCTCTTCGGTCCCAAGCTAATCGATGCACCCCTCGCAACAGAGGAAAATCCAATAACCCCTCATTTTATCTTTCAAACTTTCATAGCGAATCAAAACAAACATAGTGTAGTACTAGAATGTCGACTACAATGGGGTACGTTAATCGGTTTTCTTGGGACCAATAGGCTAGTCAAGTAGTAAGCCAATTTAAAATCGTTAGTTTCCACGGGTTGGTATTATTGCACTATCGAAAATCTACACTGCGATGGTCATCTAAAAACCAGTTAATTTCATGAATTGAAATTAAAGGGTGTCCACGATGAAATTGCCACACACAAAATTGATTCGCAAAATTCGAGTTTTCATCCGATTGCCATCAAATTTTCAGGGATTGAGAAATAACTATTAAACTTCATTTTACCATTTTACTCGTATTTTATTTACAGTCCATACGCAAATGCCCGCACCTTGGCCTTAACCCCGGCCATAAGATTCTGCACAACCTGTGAATCAACCGTTTTTTGCATGTAAACCCATACTTTCTTCAGTTCCTCGACTGTCTTCACTACCTTAGGTCGTTTAAGAAGGTGCTGCTTCATAATCGCCCAGTACTTCTCGATGGGGCGGAGCTCCGGAGTGTTGGGAGGGTTGAACATTTTCGGCACGAAATTGACCTTATTGTCCGCATACCACTTCAGCACGTCCTTGGAGTAGTGGCATGAGGCCAAATCCGGCCAGAAGATTGTTGGGACGTTGTGGGCCTTCAGGAGAGGAAGCAGCCGCTTCTGGAGGCACTCTTTTATGTACACCTGTCCGTTCATCGTGTCCTGGGTCACGAAAGGTGCATTCCGCTTCCCGCACGTGCAGATGGCTTGCCAAACCAGGAATTTCTTCGCAAATTTGGACATCTTCTGAGTGCGGACATGCTCCGGAACGCTGAACTTATCCTTGGCCGTGAAAAACAGGTTGCCGGGGATCTGTTTGTCTTTCGTCAGCATGTTGAGGTACAACTTCCTGGCACGGGTTTTGGCGGACTTGTTCTGCTTCTCGTCGCGATTAGGGGCCTTTTGTACCTTGAACGTTCGAAGCCCAGCCTTAGTTTTGGCCTTCTGGACAAAACTTCGGCTTAGGTGCAGCTTCTTAGCCACATCCCTAACGGAGGCGTTCGGATTTCGGTTGAAGGCCCCAACTACGCGGTTGTGATTTTTGGTGTTGTACGGAATACTTTTTCCTTCACTTCTGGGCTTCCGATCGGTGGTCAACCGTTCCTCGAACCGCTTAATCACTCGCGACACCGTGGAATTCGCGATTCCCAACGTTTTAGCGATGGAACGATGCGAGAGATCCTTGTTCTCGTGATGAATGCGCAAGATTTTATCACGCACGAGCTGTTCTTTCGACTCCATTTCCGCGAGTTTTGATCACAGGACTTTAAAACTTGCAGGATGTAAATAATGCACTATGAACTAAATCCACCCAAATTTTCATTAAATTCTACCCAACGGTTAAAAAGTTAGAGCAATTTCATAGTGTGGCAATTTCATCGTGGACACCCTTTACTTACTTTTTATAACATGGTAGCCTAATAAATCAATATCACATTTTTCACTTGTGTCGTTGATTCAGAAGATTTAACGCAATTTGCGTTTTAAAACTATGGGCCGAACTTTAGGGACGTGATTTTAATTATGGCCTACGGAATTTATATGATGACCGTATATTGGTATTGGTGAAACCATTTGCGTAGACGATGAGTCTACAATTCTTTACTCCTTTATGAAAATTATTTTTTTTTTACCTTTTCACTCCACTGAAAAGTCCCAATGGTCAAACGGTACGTCAATTCGCGTCTACAAAGCTTCTATAACTCTTTACTCCTATGGGGAAATCCGATAAGGAAACGTCACTGGATGCATGAAACATGGCGACTTTTTTCTTATTCGGTCGCTCTTCCGAAAAATCCCGTAGCCAAGTGTCAATCTTTGCGTGAAAATTCCATGTCCGTAAGCGAACTAGTTTTCTAAAAGGGCGTATACCCGTACACGAAAAAAACAAAACTACCCAACAGTTGAGTTATTTTATATGGGTATTTAGAAATGTCTCTTATGTTAAGAAATGCAAAACAGCCAGCGAGTAAATAACTCTGCCATTTAAAACTAACACGAATGTTTACATTCGTCATGCTGGCGACACAATAAACAATTTGACCAACTAATGTTGACATTCATTGCAGTGGTCCCTGAATTGATTTGTAATTTTGGTATTTGCTACAAGCTAAGAATTGCAAAAAGGCACTGTAGGATGTTTAGCTAATTAACTGAAATATGATTCTGTTCATAGGCTTTGGGGAGAAACACCATTTCACGAGACGTCTCTGATGAACGGATTTTTTTCAATTCATTAATAAACTTTTACAGTTACCTACCCGCTGAGAGAATTAACAACACTATTATCAGTTATGTCAGGCAAACTGGCTGCTGTCATCGCGTAAAATGAACCATGCCTAATGACTATAATTCCTTGTGCGTCTCTAGTAATCATCACTGGTGGAAGTGTGTTAGAGGGTGCTTGCCCGGTAGGTTCTGAAGGACAGAGTGTTTAACCTTCTGTTAAAACTTACTAATTCATTGCTACTCATTGGGAAACAGCGACAGTGATTTTTATTCCAAAAAATAATATTATTCGAAAGGTAAGATATGTTCAAAAAAAATTTATAAGATTTAGAATAAATCAGTATGTATTAGAAAAAAATTATTTAACTTCATAAGGCACACGACCGCCAAATTTGACTTATATTTGACTTCCGTTTACTCAAATTCGCAAAAACGCAGGACTGAATAAAAGTTTCCTCGGTTTTCCAAGAAAAACGTTTCGAGTATGAAGAAAGTCGAGAAAGGTTTTACTCAGTCTATTAGTATACACACTTAGAAAAATTCATGTAAATTTAGGTGCCCTGAGACTGACATATACGAGCGTCAATTTTGACATAAAATTGAGTCATAATAGACGCAAAATTCAGCTCAATTAAACGTACTTTTCGTCGAGTAACGAACTTTTCAGTCTCGGAGCATTTAATTTTACATGACATGTTTGTTTACGTCTCATCATTTATGTCAAAGATGGATTCCGTCACGTGTAAAATTAGGTATTTCTAAGTGTGAACATACTCTTAGACTGAGTAAACTATGTTGGGAGTGACAAGTTGACAAATTAACAACGTCGATCGGATTCATGCCGATGTTGTTCATTTGTCAACTTGTAACTGCCAACACAGTTTACCCATTTTTGGGCACTATCAGTTTAGACAGATCTGGGTGGATTCTACCCAAATTAGGGTAGTTTTGAAATAGCGTGTAGGTCCCTTCGGACTTTACTTCTTGAGCAACATGTTATAAGGTCCTATGAGCCGAATGTAAATAATGAGTTCTGGATCAACAATAGAAAAGGGCCCATCAGCATTTGTAAACAAACCGTTCCAAAGCCAATTAATCACAAATCGAAGGCTGCCCACACAAACCAACACCATCATCGTGTAGGTGGAAGTTTCTCCTATCCGATGATGGTGTTGGTTTGCGTGGGTGGCCATCGCTTTGTGAGTAAAGGGCTTAGGAACGGTTTGTTTACAAATGCTGATGGGCCCTTTTCTA